GGCTTCTTTTGTGACGATTTCTGTTACCTCATTTTTCATCTTGAATATTTGTTTTTTTCTCGAATCATCTTGGGTCGTAGGACTCACATGTTGGTATTGTCTGCCATTGTTTAAAGAACCAATTGGGTGTCATGGTTCCTCACATCTTTACATAGATACTACACCCCACAATAAATAGCATTAAATATTTATTTTCTAATTTTAGATTAATTTCAATTGGTGAACACACAGTTGCTGCTCAACTATACGTTAACGCAGACTTAACCAAAGATGCAATCGATACCTTCATTTCCGCCGAAGATTGGGTTAGGGCAAGAAAATTAGCTAAAGAACTCGAACCTGCTTACGAAGCATACGTTGAAAGTCGTTACAAAGACAGATTACTCACCGAGGGAAACGTGGAGCAATTAGCAGACGTTGACATAATCGGCGCTTTAGATTTATTAGTCGAACAAGGTCAATGGGCGAGATGTATTGAAAAAGCAAAATCTCACAGTGCGCCGGTTTTGCATAAATACGTCGCGTTGTATGCCTCGCAATTAATCAAAGAAGGTTTTATTGCTGAAGCTTTGAAATTGTACATAACATACGGGGTTCCGGCTGTAACTCAAAATTTTAACATTTACAACCAAATTAGTGTGAATATCTTTTCAATGACTGATACATATGATTCAGAAAGTTACGAGTTATGGAAAAGATTGAGGCAAATGCTATACGAATTAAACGAAGGAACAGAAGTTTTACCATCGTCAGATATTCAATACAAAATACATTTTAAAACGTTATTAATCATATCTCATTTTAATACTTTGAGGATTGCTTGTAAACAAGTTAGCCCTTTAAAAGGGATAGCTTTAAAGTTATCTGTGGGTTTATTAAGATACACAGATATTTATCCCGCTGATAAAGGCTTTTATGAAGCCGGAATTGAATTAAGAGACTCGGGAAGAATCGGAGAAGCATTTGTATTTCTTAATCATTATTTAGATATTTGTGAAGCTATTGAGGAAGGAGAAGGTCAATTAGTTGATCACACCGATTTTGTACAAACAGATTTTCCATCGAACGTTCCCATTCCAGAAAATTTATACTTGGAAAATTCACGCCAAGAACATGATAGCGTTCGAGAATGGGTATTAACAATTAGCATGGATCAAAATGTTGATCAAACCCTTCCTTTGGATGACCGAGGAATGTATGAGTCAAGTTTAATTAACGGTGAAAATCCTTGTATTATTTCTGGGTATCCTCTATCGAATAAAACAGTGACTTTTTCAAAATCATCGTATGAAGCTAATAAAGAAATTTGGTTAAAAATTAATATGGCTGCAAAGATGTATCCAGATAGTAATATTTCGAGTGAATTAACTTTTATACAAAATTGGCTTGGAACACCTTCTGTTGTATAGATACAAAGAATTTTTTATTAGATGTATTTATTATAATAATTGCAAATGAACAAATAAATATTTTAAGAAACATGTAATGTTGAAAGAGTGTAGTGACAATAAATTAAGGATGAATGAACTCCTTTTGTTATTATCCACTGTAATCTACCACGTAGGTGTTAAAATTATAGTCAAAAGTTTAAAAACTAATAATTGCCGTCAGTTACATCAGAGTTGCAATGCATTAAGAGAAATAAATATGATGAAGGCGTCAAAGACCTGAATTACAATTCAAAGAAGAACAATTTGAAAAATCTAAAAACATTTAAAAAAATATTTAAATTTAAACTATTAAAAGTAAAATTATTTGTAAAAAACGGGGTGATGTATAAAAATTAATTAATAGAACCAAAAGTTAAAAAATTACCTTGAAATATTTGAGCCGTGTGCTTGACGCTTATATGAGATAAGCGAAACACGTGTTGTACAGATTGAAATAAAATAAACATCATTGTGGAACAAAATATTGGATTTATTCATTTTTTAACTTTAAAATGAGTCCAAAGATGACGCACTTATCTCAAAAAAACCAAAAAGTTAGAATAAAAAACATTAAACCCGTAATTAGTAACAATGAAGATAGCAATTTAATTTTTAAATATTAATACCAACCTTAATTTTTGATTTTTTTTAATATATGTATTATTATTATTACCAAATTGAGTATGTTTTGTAGTAAAGTGTCTCTCCAAATTTGATTTTTATGGTGTGCGAGTTTTTCGTGGTAAATGAGAAAAGTCCATTTATGGTCCATATGAATGAAAATGACTCCATCCAATCTTGATTGAATTCACTGATTATTATTATTATCTTGTTATTGTTACTATTCTTCAGCCCACTTTTACCATCCTCCTGATAAAATATCTAAGGGATAATTACCATGGTTAAGCGCTCTCAGGCTCGTTACTACCATCTTCTGGTTAAGCTATCTAAGGGATTATTACCATGGTTACGGCTATTTTACGCGCTCTCATTGGCTAGTAGATGGGTTTATCTATTAGATAAATTTAACTAAAAGATGGTAGTAACGAGCCTCATTGGCTTACGTCGATTACTACCATCTTTTAGTTAAATTTATCTTATAGATAAACCCATCTACTAGCCAATCAGAATGCGTGAAATAGCCGTAACCATATTTGTAAGTTTTTGATGCATTCTGTCACTTTTTAACTTCACCTGACTCTTTTTAACGTTTCTGACATTTTATGAATTGAAGAACTCAACTCAATCCGACATTTTTAATATTTTCTAGCACTCTGAACCGAACACAATCAACAATCATCTTTGATGTCTTCACAAATTGGATATTTTCAAGAATTTTTAAGTTTTTGATGGTTTCTGCCATTTTTTAACTACTTTGATATTTTATGAATTTAAGAACTCTACTCAACCTGACATTTTTGATACTTTTTGGCAATTTTTATACTTACCTAACGGTTTTTGACATTTTTAACACTTTTTGACACTATCAACCCAACGCAATCACCTTTAATGTCTTCATAATTTTGATATTTTCAAGGATCTGTAAGTTTTTGATGCTTTCTGTCACTTTTTAACTTTACCTGACTCTTTTTAACATTTTTGACATTTTATGAATTTAGGAACTCAACTCAATCTGACATTTTTGATATTTTCTAGCAATACTTACCTAACTGTTTTTGACATTTTGGACACCTTTTGGTACTCTGAACCCAATACAATTATCTTTGATATCTTCACAAATCGGGTGTTTCCAAGATTTTTTAAGTTTTTGATGCTTTCTGCCATTTTTTAACTACACTAGACTCTTTTCGACAACCTGACTTTTTTGACAATTTCTAGAAATGTTTATACTTACCAAACTACTTTTGACATTTTTAACACATTTTGGCACTATCACCCAACACAATCATCTTTAACCCTTCGTCTGTAAACGTTTTTTTAGCACCTTCCGTCTGTAAAGGTGGGTCTTTCGGGTTCGGCCGTTTTTTCATCCTGTTAATGCACTCAAAAAATTTTATAAACAATTCATGATAATGTTCGAAACTTTCAACCTGATAAATTAATCATAAAATTATCGAAAAATTGATTTTTGCCTACATATTTTTTTTATACAAATGAAGAAATTATTTACCTAAACAGTTGTAGTGCGGACAGAAAATACCCAGGTTTACAGAGGAAGGGTTAATTGTCTTCACAATTTTGATATTTTCACGTATTTGTAAGTTTTTGATGCTTTCTGTCACTTTTTAACTTCACCCGACTCTTATTGACATTTCTGAAATTTTTGGAATTTATAAATTCAACCCAATCTGACATTTTTGATACTTTTTGGAAATTTTTACACTTATCTAACTGTTTTTGACATTGTTGACTTTTCAACACTTTGAACCCAACACAATGACTTTTAATGTCTTCACAAATTAGATGTTTCCAAGAATTTTTAAGTTTTTGATGTTTTCTGCCATTTTTTGAATTTAAGAACTCAACTCAACCTGCAATTTTTATACTTATCAAACTGTTTTTGACATTTTTTGACACTACCAACTCTACACAATTATCTTTGATATCTTCGCAATTTTGATATTTTCAATTCTGACATTTTTTTCAATTTAAGAGCTCCACTCAATCTAACATTTTTGATGTCTGTTTTTGTCATTTTTGACACTTTTTGGCACTCTGAATAAAAACACAATCGTCTTTGATGTCTTCACAAATTGGATATTTTCAAGAATTTCTAACTTTTTTAATGTTTTCTGCCATTTTTTAACTACACTAAACTGTTTTCGACATTTCTGATATTTTATGCATTTAAGAACTCTACTCAACCTGACATTTTTGACAATTTCTAGCAATTTTTATACTTACCTAAATGTTTTTGATATTTTCGACACTATCAACCCAATGCAATCATCTTTTATGTATTCATAATTTTGATATTTTCATGGATTTGTAAGTTTTTGATGCTTTCTGTCACTTTTTAACTCCAGCTGACTCTTTTGATATTTCTTTATAAACTCAACCCAATCTGACATATTTGATACTTTTTGTCACTTTGAACCCAACACAATGATTTTTAATGTCTTTACAAATTGGATGTTTCCAAGAATTTTTAAGTTTTTGATGTTTTTTACCATTTTTTGAATTTAAGAACTCCACTCAACCTATAATTTTTGACAGTTTTGAGCAATTTTTATACTTATCAAACTGTTTTTGACATTTTTTGACACTATCAACTCTACACAATTTTCTTTGATGTATTCGCAATTTTGATATTTTCAAGAATTTTTAAGCTTTTGGTGTGTTCTGTCATTTTTAATTTCACCTGATACTTTTTGATAATTCTGACATTTTTTCAATCTAACATTTTTGATGTTGTCAATTCTTTTCCTTTGATGGCTTTTCCCCTTGGATATGGATTGCGTTGGTTTTTGGATAGGAAAGAAACCGAAAGGATGGTGTTATTCCGCGATAAAAGTGCTTTGTATAGAAGAATATTAAAGCAAGGTGAACAACCATCTTGGCCATAAAATGTTTTGCTAAGCTGTATAGATGTTAGAGAAAAATAAATTATAAATTAAGAAAATGTTTTATTAATATTATTTAATAAAATAAGATTTTTAATCAGTTTCCATATCTTCTTCGCCTGATTTATCATCTCCTTCCTCATCATCACTTTCATCCTCATCCGATTCTGAATCTGAATCCATCCATTCCTGAGTTTCTGTATCACCAATAATCGTTTTCCATTCATCCAATTTTTTTAAATCCAAAGAATAGAAATCACATAAAGTAACTTGACGGTCACCATCCTCAAACATTCCCCCATACAAATACAAAATACCATGTTTGACAGCTAAACCACAATTCATTCTTGGACAAGGTACAAAAATATCATCATCTTTTCCACTCTCCATCTGAGTTGTGTTTGAAGTTGAAGCTGCAGGGCCTATTGTAACTTTAAAAACACCATCATCAGCTATGGTAGTGGTTTCTTTTTTTGTAATTTCTTCTTCATCTTCTTTTTTATCATCTTCGTCCATTGCTTCAGAAGATTCCTGTTTTAATTTAGTTTTATCCTTACGTTTTTGCAGAGTAATTAATCTCCAATTATTTTTTTCTAAATCTAAACTAAAAAAATCATTGAAGAATTTCCCGCGTAATATTTCCTCATCTTCCTCAACATCAAAAACGCCCCCAAAAGAATACGCATATCCATTTGGTGCGATCGTTATGGGCATGCTACATCTTGATGAAGGTGAAATCCCCGAAAGTTTTGTTTGGGTCCATTTCCATTTTAACCCAGTTTGATCATTTTTATCTTGCACCAATGAAAAAGAATCCGTATAAAAATGTCCTTTATCAACATCCTTTTTTAATTTTTCTTTACTATAACCTCCATAAACCAAAAGCTTTCCATCATTTAATGGAACAAAACAACAACCTGACCTTGGATTTGGAACACTTCCTGGAGCTTCAATTTTATGCCAAGAATATGTTTCAGTATTAAAACAAAATAGATCATTGAAGTATTTATAATCTCTTAAATTATCGTGAAACCCCCCAAACACAAAGATCATTTTTTTATGATAAACCATCCTGTGACCACTTCGAGCACTTGGCCCATTTGGAGCTTGGATTTTCTCCCATGTTTTAGCAGATAAATTAAATAACCAAAGGTCTCGATAGTGATAAAATTGAGATTGAGTTGGACTCGAAAATTCACCACCAAAAATCCATAATTGGCCCTTATTTACTGAACTAACCACCATTTGGTGACTACATCTTGGTGGGGGGGCACCGGGTGCTTTTAAAATAGTCCAAGTATTGTTTAGGATGTTGTAAAAATAAAGATCATTATAAAGAAAAGTCTACAAAAAAGGATTTTAGATATCAATAAATTAAATAGGTTAAATTTACTTTTTGGCCATTATAAAATTCTCCACCGAATAAAATTAATTCCTCTTTTAACGGATGAGCAACAAGACTGAAATTTAACCTTCTCGATGGTGGTTCAACCAAAGTTTCTGTTACTTTTAATCGTGCTTTTTCTTCTTTTTCAAGTTGTGCAAGAATCGTTTCTATGTCTTCCTACATTATTAAGAAATAAAATAAGGTGTTTAATTAGAATGAATTAAGAATTGTATCTTTTAACTCACCTCACCTTTAGCTTCAAGTTCTTTTTTTAATTTTGAGCTCATCTTCTTTTCGGTTTTAACCGCGGTTTTTTCCGCACCTTTACCTTTCTTTTTATTTTTATCTTTCTTCCCCATATTTTTGTTTAATAATTAAATTGTTTATATTGAAATCTATCAAAATAACCAAAACACCGTAAATCCGCGTGGTGTTAAATCATGAGTTAATATTATTACATGATAGGCAACTGTATTGACACCAATGTTAGTAAGGTTGCATAATTTTAGGTTTTAACCAGTTAAAGGCAACGTCCATTGAGTATTGATTATAGGTAATTGATACCAATTATGTATAAAATGTTCCTGGGGCATCCCCTGCGTTGTAACTATACGGAGTTTCTTCTGTTCAGGGAAACTCCTGAATATAAGAAGTATTTCTTTCAGTAGCTTTTGAATAAGAAGGTAAATTTTTGTTTGCTATCAGGGAATCGGATGAAAGTGATGATGAATCAGGCAAAGAAGATATGGCAACTGATTAAAAATCTAATTTTATTAAATAATATTAATAAAACATTTTCTTAATTTGTAATTTATTTTTCTCAAACATCTATATAGCTTAGATCTTAGCTATCAATTAAAACATTCTATGGCCACGATGGTTGTTCACCTTCCTTTAATACCCTTCCATACAAAGCACTTTTATCGCGGAATAACACCATCCTTTCGGTTTCTTTCCTATCCAAAAACCATCCTATTCCATATCCAACAAGGGGAAAAGCCATCCATGGCCATCCTTTAGGCAAAATCATCAACATTTTTCTTCTCGCTTAATAGCTGACTCTTCCAATGTTGAGTACGCGAGTAATCGCTATAAATTGCGCAGATTACTACCGTAGGAAAAGTAGTTACAATCCAATATCTGTTGATGAGGCCTAAAACCGTCATGAAAACTCCGGTTACATCACACTTTAATTTAAGGTTATGTCAAATACAAATGAGAGATGTGACATCTATTAATTTTTGATGTAACAATTTAAAAAGGAAACTGTAAATATTTTTTTAGTTTAAAATTGAAATATAATTTTGATTTAAAATTCGAGGACGTCATTGAATTATAAATATTTATTGTTAATTTGAAATTAAATATAAATATTATCAAAAAACGTTAAAATTATTTCTCTCCCACTCTAATATGTAAAGTTTCTCTATTCCGCTTCGGCATGTTTGGCAGGCAGTTAGTTCTCCTCGACTGCAAGAATAATAATGGTGCGTCCTTCGTAAATCGTGTTGCGGATTCTAGAAAATAGGGCACTGGTACCCAAACTATGGGTATATTTAGTTGTGATTTATTCGAATTCTAAGAACAAGAAACTGGTAAGAAAACATATTTAAATCAATTTTATTAATTATTTAATAAAAAGAATTCTATCCCACACCTTTTATTGGTTATGTTTACATTCTTTTGTTATTCGATATAATTTCGATGATGGTTTATTTCTATTAAACTTTATATATTTCATTAATTAATCAAATGACGTCATAGAATCGTTAATTATTATTAAAAAGAATACGTGATTATTAGCATGTTAAAAAAGAAAAAGAATTGGTTGTTTACAAGCAACGAACTTAATCAATATTTCGGAATTTATGATATTTATGTTATTTCGGTTGATTAAGCACCGAAAAAATGGTTTAATTCTTATCGTTATAGTTCCTTTTTTTACATGGAAATGCGAATGATTAATTTGTTTGTATATTGAAGGAATAAAAGAACTGGAATGGACTGGTTGAATCAAGAATTTTTATATTATACCCGAATAAAAGAGTAAAAATTAAAATAAATAAAATACCTTTAATATGATGATTTGTGTCCATATTAAATTTGAACAGAAAAAATTGTGAAAAAAGTTCATTGACAGGTTAAAATGTCAAATTTTATTGTACGCTGCTCTATAAGTTTTTTATTCTATAATAAACATACAAAATCTGGAATTGAAGTTAATAATTAGAAATAACCGTTTTAAATTTGAATAATTCAGGATTAATATCAGGAAAGATAAAAAATGACAAGAAATTCAAAACTGACATTTTATTTGACAGATATATTTTGACATTTTGCACACTTCAATTAATGCCATCTATTAGTAAAATTAAAAGGATTAATTTTTAATATAAATAAATTAAAAGAAACTATAGTTCGTTTTTTTTTCTATAATACTTGTCAATGTAAATTATTTAGGGTTTCTGTTGGTATTATCTAGGACCCTTATAAAATTTATGTTGTTTTCCTGATTTTTAGTAACATTTTCAGTAACTAAATAGTTGAGGTTAAAATACTAATAAATTTTTAGATAAATACGATTTTAACGAAGTACA